TGGTGGTGGCGGAGGCAAGGGTAAAGGCAAGGGCCGGGGCGGCCACGCTGCGCACTACCGCTCCCTCGACGACGTTGGGTTCAAGAATGGGCCTGCCGAGGTCAATTACGACGACTCGCACCCGCCGGCGAATGCGCCGACTGGGCCGCGCAGCGGCGGCCGGTCAAACGGCGGCGGCGGCGGCGGTGGCGGCAACAATGTGACGGATTTGCAAAACTATTATTGAGCAGTCTCACGAACAGGGCTTTTGCCGTGTTGCAACATGTTGAAAGGGCAGGCTGGTAGAGAGGCATTTTTTTGTCTGAGATATTCCCCCAATCTGTTTAATCTTCGTGTATATCTTATCATGGCTAGGGAAAGTGTGGTGTGCTTTGCTGGGCTACAAAAGCAGTATCTTGCTTTTGTTGTTTTAATTTTTTTATGTTTTTTTGGCGTATCGGATATTGACTGTCATAACTCATTGCGTATAATTTAATTGCAATAGCTAGTTACAACCAGACGAGTACACCGGGAGGAGTCCTCAATGACGTTTCTTCAACTTTGCATTATCCGTGCAAAGCATAGCGCTCTAAAATTGGCAAATGTTCCTTGGTATTGTTTTTCTATTACCCTGCATCCTCTGACACCTTTCTCTCTTACTCATCCTCGCTTTCCTCGTCGTCCTCCTCCTCGGCATTCTCCAACCATTCCACCAGCACCCTACACTTATCCCTCAGCGCGGCCATGGCCTCACCGTCGGTCGTGCGCGCGTCCTCCCACCACGCCAGGATGCCCTCCTCCTCGAGGACGTCGAGCGCGTACAGCTGCTGCAGCAGGGCGGCGAGCACGGTGCCCGCCTTTGGCGGGTCCACGCCGCCCACGTCCGTCAGCGCCGTCTGCATGGCCAGGATAAAGGCCACCTGCTCCGGCTCGCCGCCGCCGACACCGACTTCGAGCAAGAATTTGACAGCGCCCGCCCGCGCCGTCAGCGCCGTCTCAGCCGCTTTGCTCGGGTCCAGCGGGGGGCGGTCGGTTTGGGGAGCTGCGACGACGAGCTCGGCAGCGCGGCGCGCAAACGCCGTGGCGACGGCGCGCCGCATCATCTCGTCCGAGGCGTTGTTGGCGAGCCGCAGGCCCATGAACTCAAGCTTAGCAGAGTCAAAGTCGCCCGAGGCGGCGCGCAGCGCATCGAGAATGCCGTGCACGGCGTCGGCGTGGAACGACTCCTGGCCGGCGGCCTCGGGGTCCGGCTCTTCGCCAAACGCGGCCTCGCTGCCGTCGGTTGAGTACGTCGCGGAGGCGAGCGTGGAGACGGACGATGTGGATACGTTGAAGCCCGCCATGGAGTATATGAGCGACTGCTGCAGCCGCGCGGGGTCGTCGTCCTCGAGATCGTCGGCCTCGGGATCGGAAAAGGCGGCGCCGACGCCGCCGACGCCGACGATGGCGGTGTCGGTGGTGGCGGCCGTGCCAAGGGGTGTGATGGCGGAGATGGCCGTGTTTTCGGCAATAGTGACGCCGTCGCCAATGTGTACGCCAAACGAGAGGAGCGCGCCGGGCGCAATGGTTGCGGCCTTGCCGACCTGGACGCCATCAGCCAGGATGGCGCGCGTGACTGTGGCGTCCTGGTCAATCGATACGTCGTTCCAGAGAATGGCATCTGTGAGGGTGACGCCGGCGCCAATGACGCAGTCGCTGCCAATGATGCAGTTTGTGACGGTGGTGCCTGCGCCGATGTTCGTGTTGGCACCAATGACAGAGTTCCGCAGGCGCGCGCTCGAGGCGTGGCACGCGCTGCGCTCAATGACGACGCGGTTGTGGTGCGCCTGGTACGACGAGTGTGGCGCGAGATTGTTCTCCGGGACAAACGGAAAGGTCCAGCGGCCGAGGACGTCGCGGCTGACGGCGTCGTACATCTGTAGGTTGCTAGCGCGGGCGGCATAGCCGTCGTCGACAATGTGCGCGTAAATCATCTTGCCGTTGAGCTCCCAGTCCTTGAGCACGCCATGCAGGAAGTTGCGGCGCGGCAGCTCGTAGTCGAAGCTCTCGGACCAGAGCGCGAGTACTTCGGGCGTGCAAATATCCACCTGGGCGTCGATGAGGTCGGCGCGCACGTCAAAGTCGGAGGAGAGCTCTTCGGGGATGGCCGGATCGAGCAGCGTGTAGTGCTCGTCGCTGAGCGGGCTCATCTCGTCGTAGTGCAGGCAGCGCTGGGTCTCGTTGTCGACGACAAAGACGGGCGTCAGGCCGCCGCCCTCGGCCTTGGTGCGGTGGGCATCGCGGCCGCCGGAGCGCAGCACACACGTCATGATGTTGAGGGCCGACGTCTCGCGGCGGCGTCGGTGGGCTGCCAGCACGCCGTCCAGCATCAGGTTCGATACCAAGTCCCCGTGCACGAGGATGAAGTCGCCGTCGATGAGCGAGCGTGTGTCGAGGTCCCGCAGCACGTCGCCCACGGATCGCGCATCGGCTACGCGGATAAACTGGATGAGGGAAAAGGGCGACGACTTGGAGGCGGTGGACCAGCGCGAGCGGTTCAAGTACTCCTCGACGGCGTCGGTGTTGGCGCCGCAGTAGAGGAAGACTTCGTTGACGCCGTTCATGGCCAGGAACTCGAGCGTGTATTCGATCAGCGGCGTGTTGCCCAGCGGGAGGAGACACTATCCCTGTCAGTATAGAATGTCGTGGTCGGGGTGACGGTATTCGTACTCTTGGTCTGTCAATCGTAAACGGCTTGAATCTATCTTGGAACGAGTCGGCGAGGATCTGCGAGCTTCGTCAGTCCAGAACCAGTGCCCCACGGTCGAAGGGCAGCACTCACCACGGCCTGCAAGACATCCTCGCCCTTGGTCTCGGCGCCCGACTTGGCGGGTTTTTTGCCCTTGGCCGAGCTGGCGCTGTTCTTTCCCTTGTGCGACATGATTGCACGAGGAGAAGAGCGGGAGGCAATGCGCGGGCCAAAAGTTGATGATGGAGCTATCAGAGGTGGGCTGTGACTCAAAATATCGTGGGTTGAAGTGGGCTGGCTTCTGCACAGCGTGGGGTGGCCTACCCTGTAGTCGTTTGCAATTTGGCGGGATTGGACGGCAGTTTCAAATTGTTGCAGTTTAAATTGTTAGTACCTAGGCAGTTAGCTACCGAGTTTGCATTTTCTTTCGGGCACCTAGTTGTTGTTGTTTTAATGATCAGACTATCGTAGTAAGGTACACTGCCCAATGCCGTTGCTTGGTCTGGGCAAGTAACAACGAAACACCAAGACAGATGGGTGGGAGCTACGCTCGTATTGGGGGGCCCATGCTCTTTGCAGCGCAGAAATGCCGTCACGGACGAGTTGAGATGCAGAGATGCTTGCGCAAAGATGAATGTGCAGCCGGGGTGCTCGCCGCGCGCCGGGCTGTACCAGCGCGATATGCTTATATTCCGAAGCTGGACAGGGACGTGGCCAACGAGCACCGCGTGAGAGCTGTGAAGCAGGACTACAACCGGTGGCGTCTCTGTATCTCTACCCTTATAATGTTCTTGATCGCAGCTCGCAGCGTCACTGCCCCAGTGCGCGAATACTACTCCAACATCCTTCCAGCTTTACTGATTGGTATGACAAACGGCGTACACAGAATGTAACCCATCACTGCCAACTTGACGCTTTCATGCATACATGCATAATTAAGTACATTAGTAAAAAGCAGACGTATTGTTAGGGAAGGTCTTGCTTCGTTTATAGGCAGCTGGTAATTAAGCTTGTATTAGTGACATAAAAAGTACAATATATTGGGAAGTTGTTCGCTGCCAGGGACTTGGCAGCTAATCGCCTTTCAACAGTCAGGGACCCTCGACAAGTTCTGCGCGTCCGAGTATTATAGTAAATGAAATATGAGCAAAATTATTTAAAGTTTAAGGCGGGCGCTGCAAGAAGGAGATTTCCTGGGCGGAGTCTGACCACCCTGGGGAGATGCGGGCAGCGGCACATCAGATTTTTCGATTGGCTTTTGAAAGGACTTGATGGTTTATTATTGTGGCTCCAGAATTCTGAAGCTGCAGCCGTGTCGAATTTGCTCTGTTTGTTGGCAGTTTGACTGGGGAAAGCAGCCGGATATTCTTGCTATCTTCTTACTATTTATCAACTTCTTCTTTCTAATTTTCTCTATTTTTATTTCCTCTTATCCTACTTGTCTTACTTATCACTTATACTCATTTCAATCCCTCTTATTCCTTTTCCTAGTTAAACCTTGTTAATAATAGAGTGTAGACTTATGTGTCCATGGAGCAAAGATTGTGGCTTGACTGGTCAAAGTACAGATGTCATCTGCGCTACTGCAAGGCCATATGTACAGACAGGGACCGCTGTGGCTGTGCCCCGGGCCAGCCTCTGTATTTTGGCCACTGCAGAATGGTCTTTTGGACTTCAATATAGGGCAGATGCGGCATGGGTTTGCACATGAAATATTATTACATTATTACATTTCACTGTTTATTGCGCAATGGTAACTGCGCATAATATGGGGGCTCTCTTCCCCCGCGCTTGTGGCCAGCCAACCACTGCCTCTGTACCAGTCATAACGTGATTCGTCTCTCTGCAAGCTCCTCTCCTTGGTCCATGCAAACCTCCTCGTCTTGATGCAACCTCACAACCTATCCACACCATTGCCCACCGCCCACACCAGTAATAACTAATAACCACCACCTCCACCCATTCCACATGTTTCTCCTCCTTCGGCCTTCACTTCTGCTGCTCGCCAAATCCTCCGAGACGCCCTCTTTCGCTCCATCTCGTTGGCCAGCTTGCTCGTCATCATCTTCTGTTGCTCCTCTCACTACCTAAACTAATAACCACCTAGGTAGTTTACTTCCTTGGTGTCCCCCCCTCCTCGCTCGCTTACTGGCCAATTCTCCGCCCCAGTCAGTGCCTTACTCTTAGTGTCCGTCGTAGGTATTCGTCTTTGGCGCGCTAGTGGACAAGATGCGATTGATTTTTTTTTGCGCCTTTACTGCCATAATTTATTGCTGCTGTTGCGATCGCATTGCCCTGCCACCCTCCCCCTCCCAACCAATCAAGCCTCGCGCCCGCCGCCGCCGCCGCCACAGTCGCCGCCTTGGCTGACCCTTCCTCGCCCGCCGCTACCAGGTTTCGGTCGCCCTTCTTTTTTTTGACTTTTTTGTTTGCCAAAGCCTTTCAAAGCAACTTCGTTCATCTCCTTCTCCAGACCGCGCTCCAATTGCTCGCGCAAGTCACCCCTTGCGGTACGTCCAACGCCGCGTCGCGCCGGCACGTCAGTCTTTTCTTTGCGCGGTCGCCTAGTCGGTCAGCTTGTCCGTCCCGTCAACCTCCCCTTCGGCGTCGCCGGTCGTCAACCTCCGATCCCTACCTCGCCGACATCAATACCACAGCTGTGCGTCCATCGTCGCACCAGTCTGCGCGCATCTCACGGCCCTTTTTTGCCTTTATCTCGATACGGAAATAGTACCGTCCGCGTCATCGGCCTCGTCGGCTCCGCCATCACTCTTCTGCCCCCCCTCGTCTCCTGCGAGGAGCCGACGCAACCTCGCTTCTGCGCCGTGCGCCCTTTCACCTCCTCCACCACCATGTCCGGCACAGACGTTGGCCCTGCCCAGGGCACAGGCAACAATGCGAGCGAGTTCGTGAGTCACCTCGCGCTGCTAGAGAAGCAATCGCTGCAATACTAATTCCTTCTATAGGTTCGCAAGTTGTTCAAGTAGGCTACTACCCCCCTACCGCCGTCGCCCATCAATGCTAATAATCTGCAGAATGTTGGAGGACCCTTCCCATCAAGATGTTGCCCGTTGGGGAAAGGATGGCGATACCTTTGTTGTTGTCGAAGTCTGTATTCGTTAGGTCCCCCATGCACACCGCATCTAACATGAAATAGGGCGAGAAATTCACCCGATCTATCCTCCCCAAGCACTTCAAGCACAGCAATATGTCTAGCTTCATTCGCCAACTCAACAAATACGATTTCCACAAAGTCAAGCCATCCGCTGATGCCGATGGTTCGGCCCCAAGCGGCAATGTACGACGCCATCGCCGAAGCCAACCCCCCCATTCTCACTGACAGCCTTGGCAGGTCCTCGAGTTCAAGCACCCATACTTCCGCGTAGACAGTAAAGATGATCTCGACAACATCCGCCGCAAAGCCCCAGCTCCCAGGAAACCGCAGCCCCCCGAAGATTTCACTACGAGCCAGCACGTCAGCGTCATTTCCGAGCAGCTTACTGCCACACAGCAGCAGGTCCAGCAACTGCAAGAGCTCTTCGCTGAAGTTTCGCAAACCAATCGACTCCTCGTCAACGAAGTCCTGACACTTCAGAAGATGATCAACGCCCAAAAAGGCGCTCAGCACGAGATGCTCAACTATCTGACTGTCTACCCCGGCCGCACAAACGCCATGATGACCCGCCCGATGGCCTCGAACGGAGCCGTCCCGCAGACCGACGTCGACGAATCCGCCCCTGAATTACGGAGAGCCCGTGAGCTTTTAGCCAGCGTCGCACCCGATGCCATTGCCGATCGTGAGCTTGAGCGTCTGCACGATGTATATGGCCCTATGACCGACTCGAGCGCCATGGTCACCCCCGTCACCATGCCCATGCTGCACGATCCCATCACCGATCTTAGCCGGTACCCCGTCTATCCAGTCGGCCAAACCGTCGGCATCGACCCTTTTTCTTCCGACCACATCCAGAAGCTCCCATACGCCATGCCTGGCGACGCCGTTGGCGCTGCTGGGCTCGCCGATCCTCACCACCACACCCAACAGCACACACCGACTTCCGCAGGCCCTACCCCCGTCATGGGAGCTGCTGCGCCAGCCAACTCGCGAGAAGCGCCAGCCATCTGGGGGGGAAAGAAACCCCACGTGTTCCTCGTCGAAGACGATCCCACCTGCGCCAAGATTGGTATTAAGTTTCTCAAATCAATGGGGTGTGAGGTGGAGCATGCCGTAAGTCGTCGAGTAGAAACTGGCTGACGACGAAAAAGTTGCTGACAAGATGTAGCCCGATGGTGCTGAGGCCTATAATCGGATGAATGCTGTGGGAAGAGATTACTTTGACCTGATTTTCATGGACATTATTATGCCCAAGCTTGATGGTGTTTCTGCTAGCATGTATATCCGACAACAGTGCCCTTCGACACCAATCATCGCCATGACATCAAATATTCGGCCGGACGAAGTGAATGGCTATTTCGAACATGGTATGTGTCGTGTCAACCGTTTCGCTTGTAACACGGGCTAATTGACTGTAGGAATGAACGGTGTCCTGGCTAAGCCCTTCACAAAAGAAGGAATGCTCAAGTCAGTAAAGACACACCTAGCCCACTTGCTGAAGAATCCGCCTCCGGCCGACAGTGCGGGCGCCTTTATCATGCCTGCAATGGGATTCATGGACGGCACGACGCCCGTCAAGCTGGAGGCTCAGACAGCTGGCTCAGGGAACAATTGGGCCACCAATGGCATGTCGCAAGGCGACGTGGATCATGGATATGGCATGGTGAATGGAGGCGCAGCATATCCGATGGCGGCGGCAAGCCGGCAACCGTACGTCGCGGGGATGGACGGCTCGTCAGGGCGAATGGCGCCGGATCACGAGAGTCCTCCAGAAAAGCGGCAACGCCTGAATAATTCGCAAGGCAACTTTGCGTAAAGGGCCGAGGCCAACACAACAGCACGGGGCCGGATGTCGAAGGCTTCAAGGTAGCCGAGACAGTGAGTGGAAGGAAAGCAAAAATAAGCACCGGCAGGTGCGGATGGGCATCGTTTTATGGTTGGCCCTTTGTCGGCCGCCTCGCTCACAGGCTGCGGTCGATTGCGGTCTGGACCAGCTTCATCAGGGTGGGGTTCGGAGTTCGGGGCTTGGGTGATGCAAAGTGACATGTGCGCAAGTGTACATGCATCACATTTGTTTGTTTTGTTTGTGTGTTTTTATTATTCATATCCTGGTTGGGTGAGGAAGGAGTGCAAGCAAGTCATTACTGGATGTCGAAAGCGAAGCGGCTGTATGGTCAGCCGACGGCGTTATTCTCTTGGGGGATTTTTCTTTCTTTCTTGGATTATACACTTTTTGGTCTATCATTAGCGGGCCGTCGGATGTGGAAGAGAGGGAGAAAGAGAGCCAAGGCAAAAATTGTTTTGTTTTTTCTTATTAATGCTGTGTAACCATTATCAGCGGGCGGCTGCATGGCCAGGTTTGAGTCTGGGCCCCTTGTTGGGGGCCAGAAGGATGGGAGAGAAAGACAATCATGCCACGACACTGTTTGGATGACTACCTAGCGACCGTGGCTTGGACAATTGTCTTTGCAGGTTTGATCTACTGTCTGTGACGATGCAAAATATAACTTGACTTTTCCTGGGCGCAAGCGTATCGTGCTGAGACTATTGTTCACATCTTACTCGTTGTTTGAATGAGGTGCCGTCATGCTTTTCAAGATGCACCAAATGTCGCATGAAATGAGAATCTCTTGGGCGTTGGCTCTTTCGAGCATGTGCACACTTCCAGGCGCAAACCGCGGGATGCCTGCCGATGGCTAGTCATGACGTTGTTGGTCTCGACTGTCTGCGCGACTCATGTATACCAGTGAAGGCAGAGATGGTTAACGCAACGGGTTGCTTTAACAACACTTCTGGGACGTTGGTTCAACATGAGAAATCTAATTTTCCTCTTTGAATTCAGGAATATTCCCAACCAACATCAAACGTAATTATTTTGTGCTGTTGAGTTCGACAACAGGACGGATTCAACATTGTGTCTCACACCAGAAAAGTGCCCCAGTTAAATGCACTCTACGCGTCGCGTCCACCCACGGCGCGTCTTACCATCCATCATCTTTTGGCCCTACACTCACTTGCCCGCGACAAGAACGACCTCGTTTTGGCTACATCGCACGCCGTAGCTCACAAAATCGACATCATGCCGCACGCAGAAGGTACATCACCCGCGACCGTCAAGGACGAACCCGTCGACGATGCCGGCCTCCCCAGCAGCATCCCACAAGGCGACGAAGACGACGTCGACATGCTCGACGCCAGCCACGCCGCCGCCGACGACGCCGCCGTGAAGAAGGCCGACGTCAAGCTCGAGGACCTCTTCGATAACGACGACTCGGACGACAACGAGTTTCCCTCGTCGGCGCCCGTCAAGTCGGAGCCGCCCACCTCACAGGAGGGTCCCGCCTCGCCCATGTACGAGCCAGCAGAACCCGGCGTCCCAATGCAAACGTGCTGGAAGCTGACTGCGCAATGAATATAGAGACCTCTCGTCCCTCAAAGCCTCGGACCCCGAAGTTATGCGCAGCTTCTACCAGCGCTTGTTTCCCTGGCGCCAGTTGTTTCAGTGGCTCAACCACAGCCCGACGCCCACCAACGACTTTGGCAACCGCGAGTTTGCCTTTACCCTGCAAAATGACGCCTATCTACGCTACCAGTCTTTTGCCACGGCAGACCTGTGAGCATCCGCCGCACAAGAACACCCAGTACCCAAGCTCCCCGCTAACCGCTCGCTACCAGCCTCCGCAAAGACGTCCTCCGCCTCATGCCCTCGCGCTTCGAAATCGGCCCCGTCTACACGACCAACCCCCGCGACCGCAAAACGTTGCGCAACTCGTCGGCGTTCAAGCCGCTCGCCAAGGAGTTGTGCTTTGATATTGACTTGACAGACTATGACGACATCCGCACGTGCTGCGACAAGGCCAATATTTGCACCAAGTGCTGGACCTTTATGACCATGGCCATCAAGGTCGTCGACGTGGCGCTTCGCGATGACTTTGGCTTCCAGCACATCTTGTGGGTGTACTCGGGCCGTCGCGGTGCGCACGCCTGGGTGTGCGACAAGAAGGCACGCAGCATGGACGACGCCAAGCGCAAGGCCATTGCTGGCTACCTCGAGGTCGTCCGCGGTAGCGCGCAGGGCGGCAAAAAGGTCAATGTGAAGCGGCCGCTGCATCCTCATCTTTCGTACGTCGTATTGAACCCCCTCCCCCCAAAAGCCAAGCAGGCCAGACTTTTTGTATACTGACCGCCGTAACAGCCGCAGCTTGGAGATTCTCAAGACGCATTTCCAGCATGATGTGCTCGGTGTCCAGGATCCCTGGTCCACCGACGAGCGCGCCGAAAAACTCCTGCATCTGATCCCGGACCGCACCCTCAGCGAGTCGCTCCGGCGCAAGTGGGATGCCGCGCCCGGCCGCGCCTCGGCGGCCAAGTGGGCTGACATTGACGCCGTCGCCAAGTCCGGCGGCGCCGGCAAGTCCCTCGACACGCTCGCCCTCAAGGAAGCCAAGCAGGACATTGTCCTTGAGTACACGTACCCGCGCCTCGACATTGAAGTCAGCAAGAAGCTCAACCATTTGCTCAAGTCGCCCTTTGTCGTGCACCCGGGCACCGGCCGCGTTTGCGTGCCCATTGACACATCCAGCGACGACACCGTCGAGGCCTTTGACCCGCTCGCCGTGCCCACCGTGCAGGGGCTGCTGGCGGAGATTGACGCTTGGCAGGGCAAAAACGGCGAGGGGAGCGCCGACAGCGCGCCGGCGGTGGCGGACTGGGAAAAGACGAGCTTGAAGCCGTATCTAGAGTACTTTAGGTCGTTTGTGGCTGGAATCATGCGCGAGGAGCGCGAGGCGGCGCGGGTGAAGCGAGAACAAGAGGAGCATTCGATGGAGTTTTAAAGATGGCAAGATGGGTGGGTAATGACGTTGATGACTGTATATACTTTGGTTCTTTTTCACTGTCCAGCATTGTGCATTTGGAATTTTGGGTACACCTACTCTGGGAACATGGCTAGAAGCACCATTATCTTGCGAAATTGAAATCAGATATGAAACGAAAATGGCGCCTGTTGTCTATGCAATGGGTATTTCGGTCTATGCAGTGGCAGCCTCGTCCTTGGGCGCCTCGTCAGCTTTCTCGCCTTGACCCTCCTCGGCTTGCTCGCCCGTCTCATCCTCATCTTCCGCAGCCTCGTCCGCATGATGTTCCTCGCCCGCCTCCCCCCGCAGCCTGCCGCCCTTGCGCTTCGGAATGACGCTCAGGAACGCCTTGCCCCAGTCCTCAAACTCCAACCACTTGAGCATAATGTCCACGACGTGGTTCGTCGCGAGCACCTGCCGGCTCTGCATCACCATGTACTCGCCAATGGGCAGCCGCGCGGTGCGGATCCCCCGCTCACGCGCCCGCCGGTAGCACAGGCCCTTTTCGCGGTTCTTGTCCACCAGCCCGCCGACCACGTACGTCGTGTTGGGCTCCAGCCGCGCGAGCGTGTACGGCGCGTCCGACGAGAGGTACACAACGTCCTGCAGCGCCGGGTCCAGCGGCGGCTCCGGGTCCGGCAGCGGGAACGGATCGTGCGCGTCGCGCGGCCACGGCGCGGGGTTCTCCTGGCTGCGCCGCAGCGGCCCGATGAGCAGCTGCTCGTGTGCGGGCCCCCCCGCGCGTCCGCGGCGCCGGCGGCGCC